GCAGAGCCTAACTTAAAAACGTCCTGCTTTCGCTTTGGGAAAGTCACCAAACGTATTCCGAGCACAATTCAACCGTCCCTATAGCTGAAGGGGCCGATAACGACGGCAGCAGAGGAGCCACAGTTTGATCCAAAGCAGAATCAGAGTCGCTGAATGGTTCTTTGATGCTCGCACAATAGATTTTTATTCGCCGAGGAGAATAAAACTGAAGACGACTGAAGGAATGAGATTGCGCTATGCTGGATTTCAGACATTTTCGACAGTTGCAGATCGCAGATTTCTACGGCCGAACTCACGAAAATGCAGCATGTGAGTACTCCTGTGATCATCTTAGTTTTTGTAATAAACTGAGTCAGTGATTTCTGTGTTAGAGGCCTGGGATGAAAGTGATTCGCTGTCACACTTGGATGCCAGGTTATCACACACCTTCTTGCTCCACAATCCCATTCAATCTCTTTCTCTCATTTTCACTGCTGCGAGCCTATTTTACCATGTCGGCGAGCTGCTTTCCATTTCTTGCTGCACTGCTGAGAACAAGATTCAAGGTTAATTCGGCTTATTAAGCTGGTAAGAGCGACTCTTTGTAAAGTGGTTCTGTGTTTCTTCTTGTTTTATTTGATTTTGTTTTCCTTTTGTGCTGTCTTTGTCCGGGACACGCCCATAAAACCATATTTACCCAAGGAGAAGCAATAAAAACCAGCCTTTGAGGTACATGTGGGAAAAAAGGCCACAACCGAGAAACTATTAAATCCACTTGGATGTAGCAAGGTCAACTTGAGCCACATATTTTAAATTTCTTGTATTACTCTAGCTTTATTTGTCAGCTCTTTTTCTTTTATCTTAAATGGGTGGAGCTAATTGAATTAACATTTTGAAACGGGCTCTAAAGTTAGCGTGCTATATCCACTCCAAAACCAGTTTGGACGTGTTTGGGTATCATTGACAAACTGGAACGTCCAACCCACTATCAGCTGTAGCAGATAGTGGGTTCAGCTGAAGACCCTCAGAATGATGCTACCACCACCATGCTGGACAGTTGGTAGAATCTCCTTGGGTTAAAATCCTTAAACCTTCCTTTTTTATCCCCAAACAGCTCAATCTTTGTCTTGTTTGACCACAAAACTTTTCTCCAGAAGGTCTTTGCTGTATCTGTCACTGGGAGTGAAACAGACCCTCACTGACACCGGATACTCATGTAAGGATAGTCCCCAAAATCTGAATCCTGTTAAAGTCAAGACTATTGAAAAAAAGAAGAAACTATTAGACTTTTTCATCAATTCTAAAACCAGTTTTGATGCTTGAGATCATGATGTGCCAATATTTCAAACATCTAGCTGAAGTGAAGGTAAAGAATTTGGAAATTGTCCAATTACATAACCTTTTCCATAAACTTCGTCCAATGCGACCAGTAGTAGTGGTGGTAAGAAGCCTAGAGGATGATACAGCTACCACAGTGCTTAGCAGTTTCTAAGGTGTTCTTAGGTTTGAAGGCTCTTCTGCAAATACTTCCTATGATTATGACCAAAAGCAAAATTTTGCATGCATATGTTTTTTAAAAGTGTAAACATTTCTCTTTTATCTGATGTTGAGAGTCCACCCTGATTAAAAAAATGGTTTAAATTCGTATAAAGACCCCAAATGTATGTGTGCTTCTGACTGGAACCGTCTCCAGCTATCAATGGGGGAAATGCATCTTTAAAAAAAATCATTTGAGTTGGGTGAAACCTGCGTGGATCCCCATTTAACTTTGAAACGTCTACATTATTCACTGCCTTACGAGACATTAATCTTACCTTCTTATGCAGCCATGAATAAAACAATTTGCTGATCTGATCGTCATGAGTGCTTTTCCAACGTATTTTACTTATCGCTCTCTTCTTTTCTTATGTAACGCAGGCTGTTAATTTGGGGATTTGTACAGTCAGCTATTAAAAAGCAAATGATTAAGCAGCTCACTGCTTCCTTTCTGGTTGTTTGCTGCAGTGCTAGCTTCTTTCACAGACCCACATTTGGGTTTAAATGAGGAAGTTTTCCCATCTTTGATGATAAATTGTTGAGTCTTTCTGGGCCTCGTAACGGCGTGAATTTTCTTTTCCCCAGCTACAGTTAGTCATATTCTTCCCGTGACTAACACAAACCCAGTCGGTCCTTTGTGGTGTCGGCCAACGATGTCAGCGGACTCTGAGGTTTGTTATTCATTTTGCCATGTTAAAGTAGAAGCCCTGCAGGGACGAGCAATGAGCCTGTTCAGGCTTCAGACCCCCTGCGTGGCGTCTTCGTGTCATGTCAGCCTCTTCAAGCGCGCTGGCCGTTCCTCTTAAGATTAGGCCACTGGGCCATTTAAGACCCTTTAGAAATTAGGCTTGTACGCCCAGCGGTGGCAGCTACGCAGATCCTTCAGTTTCACTGGCCTTAATTGAAGGATTGTCATAAAATACATGTCACACTGTTCTGTTTTACCCATTCGGTTTCGGATAAATTCATGCCGTCAACCAGTTTGCTTCTTTTAATATCAGTCAAAGCAATTTTAGGGAGTTCTTTGATGCATTTGATTTGTGGTGAACTTTACCAGTTTTTTTTAAGCCTTACTCTCTTGTTAAAGGCTTGCAGAGCTACTTTTAACCTTCAGAACTTTTCTTTTTATCTGATCAAGACAACATCTTGAACTCCGTCCAGGTCTGTATGATAAGATCTGACCATGATTCTGCTCGGCTGCTGCTTCTTTGAGACGGCTGTTGTGATTTCATTCCTCTGTTGATTTTTCTTACATTCCTGATTTGTTTTGTTACACAATAAAGATGAAACGTGGAGAGCTGGCGGGACAGCAGTGAGATACTGGTTTTGGTTGATACACCGAGTTAAAAGGAAAAATTCTAAGTCTAAGGAGCCATGGTCCGCACATTCCTGTGACTAACACAAGCCCTACTTGTTGTACTTCCTTTGTTTTCAAAAGAAATGTTGTTTATTATTTTTCATGGTGTATTCAAACTAATGTGTTGTGACGACTAGCAAAAATAGCAACAATGTATTTCTGTGCATGTTGTACTTTCAGATTCTGTAGAAACATTTTTACTACATGCTATATAGTTAAGCACCAGATTTATTGAGAAACAATAAGTCAAAAATTCGAGAAAACTGTGTTTTATGTGCTTGTCGGCCATATTGGATTTTGAGAAACCCCAAACCTTCCTGAGATTCCAATTTCTAGGGTTGTGTTTGTTTGCATAATTACACCTCACTATTCAACCAACCGGGTAGTGACAATGGATTTTTTAAATTACTTTTTTCCATTTTTATGACTTGACGGTACAAATGAAAAAGTCCAAATTGTTGCACTAATGTTTTAAAATGTACACCAATACAGTGGTGCTTGAAAAACAACATCCACCAAGCTGCTGCCCTTTAAAAACATAAAACAAAAAAAAATTGCAGATATTGCAACAGACTGAAAGCTCACCCAACAGATAACTTTACTTAATCAATTTATACCACTTTTGTTCTTCCCCGCGTTTTTCTCCACCTATGGTTCTGTAGTGTACCTTGAGCATCACCTCTAGCTGTTTACTGTCCTCAGCAGCCATTGATTCAATCTTCATACATCTATGCTGTTACAGCTATTGCATGAATACAGTCTCCCAGAGCTTAAACCTGCTGCCTATGAACGAAGGAACTCTGACAAAATCAATATAGAGTGATGAAAGAAATCTCTATAGTATTTCTTTTTAAGTTCCTCACTAACATAAGTTCACGGTTTTTCAGTAATGTTAGCTCTCCAGTTCTGAAATTACTTAGAAATGTAATGGAAACCCAGCCTGTTGGTCAGACTGTCAACAGGCTGACCAAGAGCATCCATGACAGTCTGTAGCACAGTCGATAAATGTTTGGCACCTTGGAGCAGGAGACTTGGCTCGGTTTGTAAAAAGTGAGTTGCTCTCAGGCTCTACGGGTGCAGATGATAATGTCTGAGGAAGCACTGGTTAAAAAGGCTTCATTTATTCAACAGCTGGGTTAATTTCTTCACTAACTTACAAAAAGAAACCCTAAAAATCCACAATATAATTAAATACCAGATTTTTAAACATTTAAACTTTTTTAAACATTAAAAAAATGTAGGTTGAGATTTATATTTTATCTAAGTAACAGGGGAAATTTGGGTTTTGGCTGTTAAAACACCAAAGATCTGTCTGCTACTGGCAAATTGAGCAAGCTATCTACTGCCACCAAGTGGGCATTAGTGGATATAACAGGTAGTCATATTGCATGCAGTCATTTGGGAATAAAAGTTCTTGTACATTAACAAAGTTAAAACAGACATGGAGGTAATTATTTCTTAAAATGTAAGACCCAACATGAGCTATCACAAGTAAGTTAACTTAGTATCTTAATAAGTTATATTTGTTAAACATACAGTTAAGACCAAAATTATCCATACCATGGATTATATCTAACAGAGAATCTGCCCATGGAGATAGATTAATGTAATGGCATAGAGGCCTTCCAAGCACAAAAGATGAATTTTATCAGTGGAAACTTTCAAAAAAGCTCCTCAGCAGCTGACAAAAGATTTTTTCAACTGATTTCTCAGAAGAAAATAAATCATTTTCTTAAAATTTGATACAACTTTTACATTGTTTTATGTTGCATTTCTTAATGTGGTTAATCGCACATTTCCTGTCAATCTACTAAGAGTATGAATAATGTTGGGCTTCAAAATTTGGTTGAAAGTGGCTTATTTGTTAAAAAGAAGCAGTAAGTTTAAGGAAATGTACAAGTTTAACACTTAACCAAACCTAATTTAAGACTAAATATGTAAAATCTAGCTGTATTTACATATGTGAACTACTTAAAACACATGGACTTCAGCGAGGTACAGAGAAGTAGATCCAAAATATTTCCCACAGAGCAACATCTATTATCCTTGAAACACATTTTGTGTGAAGCCCGTCCTCTCTTTTATAGTTCATTCTAACATTCCCGTTCCCCCTCTGTTCTCTTTGCAGTGTTCATCATGGCCACTGGTCTGCTGGTGTACCCTTTTGGCCTTAACTCCTCACTGGTCCGATCTTTCTGCGGAGATGCTGACATCTACTACGCCGGCGAGTGCCAGATCGGCTGGGGCTACATGCTGGCTATCGTTGGAGTCATGCTCACCGTCTTCTTGCCCTTTTTTGCCAAATATGCACCGAAGGAGCAGCTGTCCCCCACCCCATTGCCCACTCTGTTATAGTTCCGTCTTCTTTTTCCTCTTTTACTGTTGACCACTTTATATGTCCCGGGACATGATGTCCCCGTTCCTGGGAGAAGCTCTGCCCAGAGACAGCTGAAGCTGAAAACACACATATATAAAAAAAAAAAAAACCAAACAAACGCTGTCTTCCTGCTTCTGTAATGTTATGAACTCAAATTGAAGTCATTTAAATTTCTTTTTAAACAGTGAACTTTCTGTTTTGTTTTTGTTGAATGAAAACATAAAACATTCCAAATGGAAGCATGATGCTCTGTGGTTTCAGCCACATTAATATTTCAGTGCAAGTTTTTTTTTCACTGAGAAAGCTTGACGAAGAGGCAATAAGGACAGTTCAAGGATTTAAAGGAAATTGTACAGACAGAGGCATTTGAATCTTCAATTAGTTCTCTCTAAAATGAATTGATCGTAAATAAATCCACGGGAACTCTGAAGTTCTAAATGACTCTTTAAAATAAGAACTTTGATATTTGGAAGGACTTTTTCCCCCCTCTTCTCTTGGAACTTGCATTAACCAGCTGGGGAGTCAAAACGACGTTCAGCTGTCAAAGACTGAGTTCCTCACGCGTTCAAGAAAACTTTGAACGCAAAGGATCACAGACGCAGCATCAAAACCTCTGAACGGACAACTTAAGGATCAGATTCCCGTCCTAAAAGGAGGAAAATCACGACAGGTAGTTGTTTCCGTGGGGTGTCGTCATAAGATAAAGGACAAAGACAAAGAAAGATAATAATAATTAAAAAAAATGTTGAAAACGCTGCGTGTTTTTGTCACCCTCTTCCCCAGATTTGTTTGTGTGATGTGCTTCTTTTCTCTGCCTCCGACACGCGATGCTAACTTTAATTCAGGAAAGAAAATGTTGCAAAATGCCAGGAGATGTAGGGATTGTGTCTAAAACTGCATGAAAAGATGGGCTTTGTTAATGGTAGAACAGCTGATCTAGATTTTCAATGTGATCTGACCAACTTGTGCCTTTTGACGTAACAAAGACAAGTTTCATACAGTTATCAGGTATTGATCTCTCTCTGCTGAAAACTGAGGATTCTGTTGTGTCACGTGATGTGTTTTTTCTCTTCTGGTTTTTCCTCTCGGTGGTTAGGTGTTTTTATGTACTTCATGCAGTGTGTGATTATAGTTTGGAGAAATGCTGAAAAGAGAAAAGATGTGTTTGAACCCTTGAGGATGACAGCCGCGAAGAAAGCGACGCACTCGTTTTAAATTATCCCCTGAAATGCTTCTGCAAATTACTGAAGAGGTGAATCACTCAAAATGCTTCACGGAGTGCAGCAAACATTTAGTCTCGGAATCCATCTTTTTTTATGAATTGAGTGAAAAGACTAGAGGAGGATTCTACATTTTTAAGCCAGCACACGATCGAAATGATGTGTGAAATATGATCCAGTTTCCGCTTCCTGTTCACTGCCAACTTCTTCCAACCCAACCTCCATTTTCAACGTGTTTAAGAAGATTCATATTCAGTTATTGATCAGTTTTACTAACAGACTAAACCTTAAAATAACTCCCAATTTGGGCTTCAATACTGACAGAGATTGAAAATTTAATGTGACTTTGTTGCCATATTTCAAAGCTAATAGGAATTAGAAATGTAAGTAGTGTACTGGACCTCTTACTGTGCTTGACTGGGGTAACGACGTTGGACTCATTCCCTTATTTGTTGGACATTTATGTGTAAAGTCTCAGCACTGGTGAAAAAAGAAAAAAGTGATTTGTAGAGAAAATATGTTGACTTTTTTTTTATTGTGGAATTTGACTGTAAATAAACTAACTGTTGTTGATATCACTTTATTCCTAACTGCCCCATTTTTCAATTTCAGGTGACTGATTGGTTTTAGGTTTTTAACAGAATTAAGTTGTGTGTTGTTTTTGTGGCATTTCTTTGTAATAAAAAGAATTTCATAACTTCTAAAAACCAGATGCTTTACTTTCTGTTATATTTGTTCACAGAAAACTATAGAAACGGGAAAGGAGAACATGTAAACGTTAACACAATACAAGTATGGCAGCTGCAACCTTGATGGGAAAATGACAAAAACAACATTTTTGTTAAAGCTACCTTTTTTTCTCCGACAAACCAAACATATAGAAATGTTCTTTTAAAACTCAAATGTTGACCGATGACAACAGCCGCTGCACTGCCAAAACACACAATCTTAGTTAATCTCCCTCTTAAGTATTTTAAACTACTAAACTGACTTACAAGTAACTTTTCAGCAAGATGAAGAAAAGTTAGAAAAGTTAATAATACCTTATTAACTTTGATGTTGATAAAATGCTACTAGTAGGAAGAAAAATATCTTAGGAGTGAAAAAAAATCTGCCAGTGAAACCAATACTCTCTTTTGAATCAATATTAAAGAATAATTGCCTTAAAACAAGCTCCTATGTCTTGCTGAAAAGTCACTTGTAAGTTTTATCTTACTTCAAATGTAGAAAGATATCTGCACAAGAAGCTGGACAAAAAGTATTTTGTGCTCAAACTTCGCTGAGTATCTTGACCAGCGCTCTCATTTCTGCATCCGACACTTTGACAGCTTCCAGAGCGTTCCTCTGCTCTGACGGCTGACCGGCTCGAACAGACACGCATATCAGGACGTCTTTGCTGCGGTCGTAGTTGCCGACGCAGCGATGGACCTGACCTCGAATGAGGCGCGGCAGCAGCTGCTCCTGAAGGACATCAAATGGAGGGAAAAAAAAACAAAACAAACCCCAGTAAGGGTATTTCATTGTGCTGTTTATTATGTCTGAAGGTTTTTGAGTTTGTTGTGATGGGAGAAGATGTTAATAAAAATGATTATAATGGTCATATTGACGCTTCATAGCCACAAACCTCAGTACATTTCAATGGGATTCTGTGAGATGGACATACTACAGTGTAATTGTGAAATTACAAGGAAAATGTTAAACTTTTAAAAAAGTTGCAAAACACATCTGTATAACTACTAAACTGAGTTTTGTACTCGTCACATGAACAGTTTTTTAAAAAAGCAAAAGCTATGAATATATCTGCAAGCCAATGTTTTTTTTTTTTACATCATTTGGCACCACAACCATCATAATAAATGCAGCTTAACTAACTAAATATATATTTGAACAGACACAACCTACTGTGACTCAGATGCACTTGGTTACATTTGCTTTCAAACTCACATTTTCGTAGAAGACACACTGCAGCACATCCTTCCCGTCTCTCAGCAGAAAGCTCTTGGCTCCGTAGCGCCCCAGAGTGACTGCAGAGTCCAGAGTGGCTGTGGGGAAAAGTCACAACTTGTCTATTTAAAGTTGTTTAGAAATATCACAAATGAGCAGCAAGCTGAAGGAATTTCATACTCCCTAACCAAATATCTCGAATAAGTAAGGAATTTTATCTTTAAACTGGCTCCAGTGTCTCATGCCATTAATAACTGTGGTCAAGATCCTCAGGGAGTTTTCCATTGGCTGCTTCGCTGGAACATTCTCCTTCTGAAAACAGCAAAACAATCAAAACAGCGCACTGTGAATGATCATTTTAAGAAAGTTACATGCAGACCGTGTAACTTTCTACCTCATTTTTGGTTGGTTTAGCTGTTGGAGGTTGATTCAAACTCTTTTTTGAAGCAAAATGTGATTTTTGATGCTCAAAGCTGTTAGTAAACTTCCAGGACTTGTTAGGTTGCTGTGCGGCTTGGGCAAGCGGCATGCTGGGTGGAGGAGCTTCAGGAGGAGGAAGAGATCTGGACTGCTGGGAAAACTGACGTGCAGGGAGGGTTTGTTTGTCGGACGACTGCTGAGCCGTCTGAGAGAAACCTGCATGCTGTGCCGGCTTGCTCTGGGGGTTCTTGTTGCCATAGGGATGTTGAATTTGGCTGTGTCTCGGACTAACACCGGAGCTCAAAACCCATTGTCCGGCTGGATTGCTGGACTGGCCCGTCGTGGAGCTGAAGCAACACAATAAAGATATTTTAATTAAAGATTAAAAAACAAGCAAGTTTTCTTATTTTGAATAAAAGGGTTTGCCTTCATGTACATGTCATAAGTTATTGCATCGAACAGTCTGTGAACTTTCGCACTTTTATTCAAACACTTGAACTGTTCACAACCACATGAGTTTTTGGGATTCTTTTCCTATGAAAGCCATGCAGCTAAACCAAATTAGTTTGATTGTTTCTGTGTCATAAAAGTTTCCACAAGACACTCTGGTGGTCAGTGAGTCACTGAAAAGCACCTCTTGGCCCCGGCTTTGTATGGATGCGCAATGGGTGCAAAGGTCCTCATTGTAGACGGTCCAGGAGCAGGTCTGTTGCCGTACTGCTGGGATTTAGCAGACTCTGGGACACCTTTTCTGCTCCACTGATGGCTTTGAGGAGCACTAGAAGAATCTGAAGCCTGGTAACATTCATACGCAGCTGAAAAGACACACAATACATCCCAGGATACTAAACGTCTCAAAGATAGCCTGGTATTGTTAACGTTTTCTGTGAATGTGCTGCCACCTAGTGACAGAAGCGTGATTACCTGAGGGGGCTTCACTAGCAGCTGAACTGGTGCTGGCCATGTATTCACTTGGGGGAAAGAACTCATTTTCACCAGGAACAGATTTCAGAGGAATTCTGTTTCTCTTCCTCTGGTTAAAGAGTGACACAGGGAGGTAGCCTAACAGAGAAAGCAAACGAAACACTTTTTTAAAAAAAAAACCTGTTGGATGGGGTTGGAGGGAGTTGCACTATTTCTTTTTTCCAGAATAAGAAAGCAAACCTATAGAATACATGCCGGTACATTTGTGAAATGATATCTCTTCACATTTGGTACAATACTTAAAAAAAGATGCCACATACCACCTATACTGGACCAATAACTACGACATATTTTAAAATTATTTTTAATAAAATATTTTGTAACAAACCTGTTGCTGGTCGGTCCAGCTGCTGTTCCTGTCTCCTCATGTTTGGTCACAAAGTCCCGCAGTTCTTTCCGCTTGCAGATGCTAACAATATTAGCAGAACAAGAAGGAATATACAGAAAAAACTAATTCAAAGACAGTAGTTCTAGTGTGTGTTGGTCATTACTGTTACAAACACGATGGGAAAAGTACCCAGTGACCAAGTTTTTAAGTAGCTTTAAAGCTTTCTTTTCGACAATTTCATCAAATATGTACAGTAACATAATTACCGTGAGCTATACGTTATGCTAGCAAATTGCATTGGCGAGTTTAGCTTAGCAACAGGTGTGAAATGTAGCAACTGTTTACTTTTCTTATCCTTTATCGTTTTAAAAAATTAGTCAATATATCACTTGTTCTTCTTACCTAAAGTTTCCAAGATAACCGAGGAGATAATGTCGCAGCTTATTTTTCAGTTCCGTACATCGGAAAGAGGAAAGATCCGCAGGTTCACGCGCCACCTGTCATGGTGCGTTCACGATCCGCAAGTAAGTTCGGGGTTTCTTACTACAGCTAATTAGGATCCTGGCGATTTCAGAAGCATATTTGTGCACTTTGTCACCTTTCATATCTATTACAGATGGGCTCCACCGGGGAAACTATTGGTTCAAATGACATTGTAAAATGTTTTGATGCAAAGGTATTTATTAATTGTGAATTATCCTTTCTTTTATGCGATCCCTTCAAACAAACCAGTATTACTTTTCACTGTGTCGATTAACAAAATGTACTTTTAAGAGAAAGCTTTCTATAAATGTTTATACAAATGATATTGGTTAAGTTTAAATTAGGTGAGATATTTGAGATATTCATTTGTTTCCTGGAGCACATAGAGAAATGGATCACCATCCAAAACTACCAGAATACCAGAATAACTTAAACATTTAATTTTACTTTAGGATAAAGAAAAGTATTTCTGAATTGAATTACAATGAATCAGTTCATGTTGTTATTTTTTCCTTTAAAACATTGTGTGTAGAAACATACCATGTATATATTTTTTAAGGATGTTAGAGGTGTCAACCTTTAGCCACGTAAAACAACAACTTATTTAAAAAGGGCAACCTTTTTCCAATTGTAAAAAAAAAACAAAAACGCATCAGTTATTATTTTATTAATGTGTACAAGTTTATTTAATGACATTATTAGACGATTATTTGATACACAAAATCACAAGTTTATGTTTATTTTACAGCATGAAAGTTTCTAAGAAGGATGATCTGCAATATTATGAATATTATGACTTGTAATGAATTACACAACATGGAGAATCTGAAAAACAAACAAACAAACATATCTTGAGCTTTAGGTATTGTTTCCCCCCCTTTCTTCTGGAAGTTTCAGACAGTAGAGTATATATTGGCGCTGTGGTTTTGCCCCACGCACTGAATGCAGATTTTCAACATCCCAAACTGGCAACTTGCACACATTGTCAGTGGGAGGCGCTGGTCCGAAGTAGTTTCTGGAAAGAATCGCGTGCGTGCACCATGGAGAAAGTAAGTGTCCCTTAACTTATTTCCTTGTCTGTTGTTAACTTCTGTGTTTAAACCAAGTCTTTTGGCGCATTTTGTTTAAGCCGAATCTGCAATATTTACCAGCAAAATGTTGTAGCTTAGCGTCGTCAGTTAGCTTCAGCGTTGAGAGATTTCAGTGTTTCTTAGCTTGTTAGCTTAGCGTCATTCACTGCAGTCATTTAGATGAGAGTGGGCTTTTCTGAGCCGTTAGGAAATACGAAATGTGTTGGAAACCGCTAACAGTGAAATTACATCATGTATTTACAATTGGTAAATACAAACAGAAGGCTGATCGGTCAACCAAAAACTGATAAGTCTTCTGTTTGCAGCTAACCCCGTGGAGATAAATCAGTCTTGGCTAAACGTTACGTTAGCTCGTTACAGTAGTTCGCAGTGTAGCAGGATGCCCCAATAAAACTGCTTCTAATTTCGGGGCTATTACTTTATAGTATCAAAGTAGCGCTTCAATTACTTCAATATCCTTGACGGTAAAACGTCTCAGTGAAACTCGAGTTAGCTAACCTTTGCGCGACAGCTAATAGAGCTCACACCGCGAGGGCTTTAGTTCATTGAACCACATGGATTTTATTGGACTCGTTTCATTCATTTGTTTGTTGAGGAAGAGTGGCGCTGTCTGTTTAAAGTTTTCTCTGGCGGCACGTGCTGTACTGGGTTTTTTTTGGGGGACTTGCTTCAGCACGAGCTCACACTCAGACCGGAGGATCATTCTAGATGCACACGGCTACAGCCGCACGCCGACGAAGACTGTCGTGACCTCTCGAACTTTCCAGTTTTCAATCGAAAGGTTTCCAGATGATGGTTCATGTTTTGAACGGACTCCATAATTCGTAAAGCATTGAGTTGCTCTGTAATTACTATTCGATTTATGTAACGGAACATGGTGTACACACAGCTTGAGACAGTCGCACTGTACACATAGAAGTCTATTATTATTATTACTCGAAATATGTGTGTTGTACTTTAGGCCATAACATGCATTGGGCTTGTATTTCTTTTTAAACTAAGTAGTTTGGGAAATTAAGATAAAATATTATTTTTTTATATATATTTTGCTTTGACTCAAAGTAGATTACACAAGGTGAGGTACAGTTGAGCTTTATAAACATTTTATGAAATACGTTTTCTTTTTTCCTCACAGTAATTCAGTCCAAGTTTTCTTCAATCGGTTTTTCTTCTTCTTTGTTTTAGATCAGTTGGATACCGTCCCATAGACGTCTCACAGTAATTTGCTGTAGTTTTTGTCCATTTCTATTTTAACATCTGACATTTGTAGGGTGCCTTGCTTACACAATTAGTTTCAACTCGGCCTACAAATTTTCTGAGCGTTGGATTCGAGATTTAATGTGGTCATAGTATTAGGTGTGCAAGAACTTCATGGATTGCGGTATTTGGACTTCTAATTATACGTTCCAGGCATTCAAGCCTTCTATGTCAGCAATATATGTAATAATGCTTGTATTAGAAGGGCATTATAATGTTTTAGTAAAGACATTAAGCATATAGCCCAAGTTGCTTCTTTGCCTGAACACCAGATCTAGCCAGTTGTAACAGTTTTTTTTTATACATATAAAACAAGTGTGGTTAGAGACAAAGCTGAAAGATACGAAGGATTTTAAATGTCCCAATATTTATAAATATTGATCTTCCTTCTTGATACAATCTATCAGTGAAGTTCACCTGTTCCTCCTACATCATAGCACCTTTACAACATGATGCTACAGCTCATAGCGTTCCCCTTTTCCTGTCTAATATAACAAAGGACATTACAGCCAAACACTTAAATGTTATTATCATCAGACAGCAGAGCATGTCTCCCAACACTAAGGCATTTGTCCTTTAGTGCATTTGCCTACTGTAATCTCTTAGTGCTTCTCTTGTAATCATATCTTCTTTGTGGCTAAGTGGCCTTTTAGCCCACAGGACTTGTTACATTATCTCTTGCAAGCTTCGGCTAACATCTTCACACAGTCATTTGCTTTTGTTCTGAGGTCGATTCAGACATTTCTCACCAAAAGACCTTCAGGATATTGAACTCATCTCCTTCCAGTATGAGGGCTGGACATTCTGTTGTACTTGCATATAAATGTTTGAATGGATTAACATGGCACCTTGAGGTGTATTGAAATTGTGACCCAGACTTGTGGATGCTTTTACTGACAGCCCTGCTTATTTCTTTTGCTTTGTGCAATTATTATTATTATCATCGTAATAGTACAATAGCGTACAAATATAGTGGATGCAAACTTCTGAATCTGAAGAAAATAAAAGTTATCCTTTTAGTGCAATTGTTCTTTCAACTGTAGGTACTTGGAAAAACACACGTTTGGTTTTCAATACCTTTACTGATCTATTGTTCAGAGTATTGCCATAGTTATAGTATTGCCTTGGTTATAGTTAAAAACAAACTTCTGTTCTGTCCTTTTTTCAAGGTGTTTTTTTGTTCTCAGAACAATTAAAGCATCAACACAAAGCTCAGGAAACTATTGTTCAGACGATGCTTGTGGGGGATAAAAAACAACAACAAATAGCCACGCCTATAATGAGTAGTGATGTTTATGAGTTATTTTGAAGATTTAGATGCTTGGTTCCATTTAGTGAGTTTAAGGTAATATTGATCAAAATCAGACCTCAGAGGGTCTGGAGCTGGACTGCTCTGGTCGAAGTAGTGTGGATAAATACTTCTTTATCACTTTCTCATGTTCTTTAGTGTTATTACTGTTAAGATGGGATAAGTTGTTGGTTAAACATCAAAACAAATCCATCAAATCTTTATAATGTATGCCAGTTCTTTTTAAAGACATCTACATGCAGTTTTTAAGCTATTTATCACATTTATATTCCCTCCAGATTACATTAAAGTCTTGTTGCAATCTCCTTTATTAATATTATTATTATTCTCCTGTAGATTGTGTATTAAATACAATGAATACATTTCCGTAGCAGCAACTCTGCACGAACAGCTGTTATTTTTTCAGATCTGTCGGTAGCAGCTGTCAAGGGTTGCATTTGGCTTCTACTGGGCTTTCTGTATGTGCTAACATTTAGTAAACGTGTGAATTCTAGGTGTCAGCATTGAAAGACCAGGGCAACAAGGCGCTGAGTGCGGGAAACATCGACGAAGCTGTCCGTTGCTACACTGAGGCCTTGGCTCTGGATCCATCAAACCATGTGCTGTTCAGCAACCGCTCTGCTGCCTTCGCCAAAAAGGGCAACTATGAGAACGCTCTCCAGGACGCTGTTCAGACCATCAAGATCAAGCCCGACTGGGGCAAGGTGAGCGTTCTTGTGTCTTGCTACGATTTGAGGAATCGGAAGAACAAAAATTGATTTCAAACCTTCCAACTTTCCCTGCAGGGATACTCCCGCAAAGCTGCCGCTCTGGAGTTTCTCGGCCGGATAGAGGAGGCCAGAGTGACGTACCATGAGGGGCTCCGCAAAGAGCCCAACAACCAGCAGCTGAAGGAGGGTTTGCAGAATATCGAGGCTCGCCTTGCAGGTACAAAAGCATGTCTGTTTAGTTCAGTTGTACAAAAAGATTCATTAATATACACTGTTCCAAATTATTATGCATTCCACTACTGCGTCCATCTGGACCATCCACGGTTGCACAGTAGTCATCAGTGAACAAGTCTGTTTGAAAGTTAATCTTTATGTACAGCTGGGCCCATGGCGACTGTTTCTGGTTAGGGGGCCCAATAGTATGCAACACAAGCCTCTGGAGGATCCTCCACCTTGAGGTTCCAGAGACACCAGCAGCTTGAAATAAGTGTTTTTGCTTTGTAAGGGCATTTTAACAGCTGCTCTCTTAATCTGATGAATTTGTCTAACAGAAACCTTCCTCATTATGCCTTTATCTGTACAAACCCATCTTTTTTCTGAATCAGCCACAAATTTCTTTATGCTTCAGTTTTCGTTAAATATTTAATAT